TTAAGATATATTCTTTTAAATAAATATTAATCTAAAAACTATTAATAAAAATCTTAATAATACGAGAATTCTTATTTACTTTAAAATAAATATATCTTATATATATATATATAATATATTTATTATTTACTTTTTATACTTTAATTAATAATAGTTTATTTAATAAAGTTAAAACTAGAATCTTATATATAAGCTATAAATTTTTTAAATTTAAGACCTTTATTTAGTTCTTATATATTAATTATAATAATTAATATTATTTTCTTTCTAATTAAATATTAAAAACTAGAATTATATAAATTTTATTAATATCTTATATTAATATCTTTCTTTTTTATATTACTTTATAAGAAATTAATATAGTAAGTTTAATTATTTAAATATTAATATATTATATTATAATTATAAGCTATAAATATATTTAAGAATTAAGAAATATTATATTAATTTAATAAGCTTATTAATTTATTTAAAAAATTAAAGAATTAGCTTTCTTAATTAATAATTCGATATTAGTTATATATAAATAAGCCTTTAAATAAAAATATAAGAATATAGATTCTTATTATAAACTTTTATATTTTCTAATATTTAATTCTTTAAACATTTTTTCGGAATTTTCTTATTTTAATAATATATATAATAATATTTATTATTTTTATATTAATAATAACTTTAATATAATTTATTTTATTTTTAAATAATTTGTATTTATTATTTATTATTATATTTTTTAATTTAATATTAATATTATTTTTAGCTTTAAATTTTTTATTTTAGTTATATTATAATATTAGAAATCCCAAATTAAGGGTTTTATTAAATTTAATAAAACTTAAGCTAATAAATACTTTATATATAAGATTAATAATTTTAATTTTAATATAAAATATAATATAATATTTTATTTTAGCTTTTTTAAAAAGGGCTTCGAATATAATAAATTAATAATTTTAGACTAATAATAATTTTATTAATAAAAGTCTTATAATATTTATTAATAAAGATATTTCTTTTAATAAAATTAGAAAGTTTTTATATAAGAAAAAAATAAAAACCAAATTATTAATATTATTATTATTAATATAAACTTTTTATATTATATAAAGAAAGTTATTCTTATAATTTTAATAAAAGTAATAATATTTATTATATAGCTCTAAATATAAGTTTTATTAAATTATAAAAAATAATAACAAGCTTTTATATTAAAAATTTATAATTTAAAAGACAATTATTATTATTAATAAAATAAATATAATTAATTTAAATATATTTAATATTATTATTAATTAATAAAAGATTATAAGATTTCTAAATAAAAGCTTATTTAATTTTCTAGTAAATTCTTTATTATAATTTTTACTAGTTAAAAAACTAGAAGTATTAAAAATATAAATAATTGAATTATTTAATACTAATTTACTAATATTATTATCTTAAATTAGTATATTAAATAAAATAAAAATTTATATTAGATTTAGAGAATATAATTATTATTATTAAGCTTAATATTCTTTATTATTATATTAATTACTATTAAATAAAATACTTTACTTGAATTTATATTTTTTAATATTATATAATTAAATTAAAATTATAAGTTTGTTTTATTTATATATAAAGAACTTGCTATAACAAATTAATTAAAATACTAGAATTTTCTTTTCTAGTTTTTTTATATATATTTTTTAAATACTAGCTATATTTCTTATAAATCTTTATATTATTTTAAAATAAATATATAATATATATAATATTACTTTAAATATTTTATTATTATTAATAATATAGTATATTACTAATTATATATTTATTAATAAACTTCTTTAAAATAAATATTTTATATATAAAACCTTTAATGTATGGTTTTTTCTAATAAAGTAATTTATAATATTTTTAGTTTAAAGATTTTAATTTTAAAACAATTTCTATTTTTTATTAAAAATACTTTATATAAAAAAAACAAGTTTTTATATATCTTATATTTAGCTTAATTAATTATAAAATTCAAGGCTTAATACTTATAATTATATTTTTTAACCTTAAATATAATTTTATTACTAGAGAATAAAATAATTATGAAAAATATTACTTAATATATATATAATTATTATAATATTAATTTTTATATAAATTATATTTTCTATAAAAAATTAATACAAAAAATCTCTAATTTTGGCCAGATTTTTAATTAATAATAAAAATAATAAAACTTTATATATTTTAATAAGAAATTATAATATTATAAAGAAAATAAAGTTTTTTATTTTATTTATTATAAAATATTCTTTTTAATTTTTTATTATTTAATAATTATTTCTGCTTTTACTTTTATATTAATTTACTAATATAATATTTAAAATTATTTTAATCTTAAATATATTATTTAATTATAAAATATTTTTAATATAAAAGTACTTAACTATTTAAGTTATAATAATTAATATTATATAAGTATTACAAGTTAGTTTTAGCTAAGATTCCAAGCTATAATTTAAATCAAGCTTAGTATTTTAATAGTCTTAGCCGCACTTACTTATCCACTGCCACACCTCACTCTCTCTTTTCTCCTTAGCTTTAGATTCTATAAGACATCGAAATCATAAATCTTTAAGCCTTATTTTATTAATTCATTTCTGCTATTATATAAACCTTTATTTTATTTATTATAAAAATACTAATTATATTAGAATTTTATAATTTCTAATAACTAATAATTTTGCTAATAAGAATATAACTTTAAAATAAGAAATATTTAAATTTAATATTTGAATTTGTATATCTTATAATTAAAATATTGCTTTTAATAAATAAGACTTTTACTTTAAAATAGGTTTTTTTTTAAAAAAAAATTCTTTTCTTTTAATTTTTAATAAAATATAAAAGCTTTTATATTAGGTTATATTTAGAAATATTTATTATATATTTTATTTTTCTTTTAAAAGAAAAAAATCTTTTTAATAGCTTATTAAAGTAATTAATATTATAATTTCTAATAATATAAACTAAATATTTTATAAATTTATTTCCAGATATTAATATATCTCGAATATTTCTTTTTATATTAATAATATAGATAATTTATTTAGTCTAATAACTAATATAAATAATTTCTTATTTATTTATATTATAACTAGATATAATTAACTTTAATTTATTTCTTTTTTAAGTAATTTAATAATATTATTTACTTTTTTTTATTCTTTAGTTATTCTATTAATTAATTTCTTGAACTAATTCTTTATATTAATTACTAATATAATAAGCCTATTTAGTACTTCTAGTATGACTTTTATAAAACTAATTATATATTATTTCGAACTTTATTTATAAGGCCAAAATATAATTATTTTCTTTTTAAATAATATAACTAATACAAATTTTACTAATTATATATAAATAAAAGAGACCTCGAATTATATCTTATATTATAATATATTAAATAAGTTTATAAAAGTAGTTTATAAAACCGAATTACTATTTTATATTTAGAACTAAAATAATATTATATATTATTAAAAATAATTTTAAAAGTAATAATAATAAATATTTAATATTCTTTAAGTAAATTATTATTATAAATAATTTTTTTCCTTATATATATATAACGGGTTTATAATAGCCAAAAATAGAATTATACTAAATATGAAATATAATATATTTAACTTTAGTAATTAAGCTATAACAATAATTAAATTATTAGTACTAGAATATTAATTAAAAAATAAAAAGCCTAGCTACTTATTTAATATATGCAATATATTTTATCTTAAAAGCCCTTTAAATAATATAATAATAATACTATTTAAGAAATATAAGGCTAATTATATTATTAATTTAAGATAATAAAAAGGCAAAGTTTTTAATATAAATATATTAACCTTTTTATAATTATAACTTCTCTAATAATATAATTAATAATATATAACCAAAGGACTAGTTTATAACTAAATAAATTAATAGTAGAAACTAATAATTAAAAGGTTATAAAAGTACGAACTGGTTTTTTATTTTTTTGTTTTTTTACTTTTTCTATTATTTATACTCTCCTAGTCTATAATTAGTAAAATACTGAATAATACGGGGTTAATATTACGTTTTCAAATTCAATTATAGTTAATTGTTTTATTTTCCTTTTTGCACCATCTCCCTACTTATATACTAACCCGCATTAAACTACAATCACGTGTTTCTACCAAGAGATTCATTCATTTAACAGTAACGTACTTGTAATACCCTATGTAAACAAAGTGAAAGGGGAAACTATCCCGCTGCTAGAAGCTTCCAGAAAGGGATTGTGCCCTGAAACGAAGTGAAAAGGGAAACTATCCCGCTGCCGGGAGGCTCGCTGACGGCCCTTGGTGGGCTGGTGCGGTGCGCACCACCAAACCGGTTGCCAAGCTTCCTGAAAGGGATCGTATTGCACGTGATGTACTGTTTTGGCTTAGTGGCCATGCAGTGGTGGAACTCTCGGGTTTGCCATAATTAGAAAGTTGAGCGCGGGGCGTTCAGCCTCCTCACTACTTTTGTCGACGCCATAGTCTGGCGCTAATTTTAGCTGAATTGAGACGTCGAAAATATGCTTTGAACTTCTCAGGTGCCTTAGATCGCGACGATTACAGGAGAATTTATATATTTACATTCAGAGATTGTCTTACAGCGGACGTCTGTGATGGGGAACGAGTGCATTGAAGTTGGTGACGCGAATCCCGACATCGCTGGAATAGGAGTGCGTTCACCATGCCCTGCTTTGAATGTGGAGCTGAAAGCCAACCTCCAGATTCTTCTATCATTCGGAATCCAAGCACTGCTCACAATTATCATCTCAGCCTTCTCATTTGGTTTCGAAACCGTGGCTCTAAAGCCAGAATTCTTATGTCGACCTTCAGACACTTGGATTCAGCTTCAAGAAACTGCGAAAACGTTACTTCAAACCAACAGCGATGTACAGACTATGACAGGTTTGTTTTAAAGAGATCAAAACAGACCGGGAGTTAACGACTGAAGGCATTTCTCTATTAATCAGTGCGCTAGTCCAGATCAAGACCCTTACTTTTTACCATCTACACCTTGTTTACGACACTGTGTCATTTGTTGCGTAAGTAATAAGTACTTGCCCTTATAAAGGACCATTCTTCTCACATTGTTGCTCTTAGAATCTCAAACTGTGCAGCAGCTGTCTGCTCGCTGGATCCAAAAACTACGGCTGGCATCGTCCGCTACTATTTGATTGCGATATGGTCAGTTCTCTACCTAACCTATACATCGCTCTTCGGTAAGCGATTACAGTCCTGGGACTACAGCACCCCAGGCCATTGCTACAACACGCATCATCTTGCCCTTCCTTCCGCTCGGCATCCATCCGTTGACAACGTCTATATTGCAATCACGTGTTTCTACATATTCGCAACAATCAGCTTGGCCACTGGTTTCACTAAGCTTCTTAATATGAGTGAAGACAGCACATCCACCGGGCTCATGGCACTATTTTCGAAGAGGGGAGGACTTCCGTGGGCAAATCTATATACTAGGGCCACAGGATTATTTTCGAGGATGGGAGGACAGGGTCGGTGGTCCAGGGGCCTTCTCGCAGTCTTGGAGAATCTCCAAGAAACCAAAGTCAGCGACTTCTTGCAGCATCACCGAAAACCACTACTTCTAGTGGTTACTTTCGTCCAGTTCCCTGTGCACGTTTACTCGATCTTCATGCTCCGGAAATCAAACGAGGGCTTGTTAATCAGTGGTCATACGGAGCAAGAATGGGGCTTCGGTCAAGTTGCCGCTATGGTTCTGCTGGCGCCCAACGTAATTGGGATTGTTGTTGCTGTTAACGGTTAGTTTTCCCTTCTGACTCAATAGTCAGAGACTTAACGAATACTGAAAAAAAAGCTAATAGAGTATTTCTAGATTTTATCACTTAGCAGCCTCGAGCTAACGAGATAGAGGAAGGGCGGAAGAGGAGCAGTGGCGAGGATAACGAGTGGGAAGAAGAGCAGAAGTAACGCTAGAATAGTACTAAGAGGGGGGTAAGTCTTTAAAGTCGATATTTTTACTATAGTATATCTTAGGCTAGAAATCTTTGCTCTCATTTCACTTTTGCTTGACTGCTGCGTTGTTTCAGGGCAACAACGTGCGGAGCGCGCGTTACTAGTTAATAAGGGAATATTCTGGGTCGGAGGTCGATTTTGTAGACAGTCGCCACGTGACGCTTGAGACGCATTACGCTATTAAGAACTAATTCCTTAGCCTTGTAGATAGGATAGTTATAGGGGATCCGCTACTTTATTAGTACCTCGCGTGAGTAAATATTCTTGATATGGTTCCATATATGCGAAATGCAGCGAAATTTACGTATTTATTTCTATATAAGAGCCGCTTATTACTAATATAGAATATGTACTAGATATTTTTATAGATAAGGGGAAACTTATTAGCCGGTGGAAATGAATTAAGAGCAGGAGTGAGAGTAGAAACGGGAGATTCTTTCTTGAGAGAATTCTTATAAGCCAGAGTAAACTACTATTAATAAGTTAGAAGCTCTTATTATAAGGCAAGTATAATCTAAAGATTAATAATATAGACTTTTCGAGTAATATTAACTTGAGAACTAAGGTCTTTAAAGAAATTATAAAGAACTGGTTATAACTAGTATAAGAAATAAATAGATTAGATTAGATTAATAGCTACTAATCTAATCTATCTATGAAAATTTCTTATTAATTATATTCTATTTACGAATTAGTTAAGCTAATTATAAATATTTATAAATACCTTAATTAATATATATGTAACCACTATATATAATAGGCTAATTTAATTAGGTAAGGATCTGGCTCGAGTATTACTTTATTCCTAGAGAGAAAAGCTTACTAAGGCAATACTAGAGCAAGAACCTTACTTAATTAGACTAGCCTATCACGTGCTATAGTCACGTGTATATTAATTAAGGTATTCATAAATAATTATAATTAATTATTCTAATTTAATTAATTTATAAATATTTATAAATAGTATAAATAGAATTTAATTAATATAATACTTATATAAATTAATTAATTAATCTAATTAATTTTTTGTATACTAGTTATAACTGTATTTATTTTTCGAGCTAATATTTAATAATAGGCTCGGCTTTCTTTTTTATTATAATTTCATTTAATAGTTTATTTAATTACTTTTCTATTATTTTATTATGAATAGAAAAAAGGTAATTCTTCTAATATTTAGCCTTAAGCTTGTTTTATAGGCTCTTTATTATAGCTTTAAGTTATTAGTTAAGTTTTTTATATATCTTTTTAATTCTTTTAGATACTTAATTAATAAACTTGTACTTTTATTTAATTCGAGTATATAACTTCTTGAATTATTACTTAAAAATAATAATTTCTGGATTTATATCAAGAAATTAATTTATTATTTCTCGGAGAACTTTTTTTAAAATATTAAAGTTATATTAAATATTTATATAAATAAAGGCCCGAATTAGTCTATTATTAATAATATTATTTTTAAAATAAACGTTTTATATATTAAATTTAATAACTTAATTATTATATATTTTATAAAGAAATTATATCTTATAATTTAATTATATATTATATTTAAGGCCTTATTTGAAATAATTATTAGCTTAAAATTTTTTTTATAATATAATTTAAAATATATAGTATTAATAATATTAATATAGCCTAAATAAAAATAATAGCTTATTAGCTTGTTTTTAAAGCTTATATCTTATTTAAAATAGTTTAAATAAAAGATATATTTTAAATAAATTATAAGTTTAGTTTTTAACTTTACTTAATTATTTATAATTTAGGCTAACTTTTAAAAAACTAGTTATTTAAGCTATTTCGGCTTCTAATAAACTTTTATTACTTTTATATTTTGGTTTTTTAGGTTTATAATAAAAAGAGCTTAATAAATATATAATTATTAATAAAAATTATATTATTATAAATTATATAAATTAAAATATAAGAAAAGAATTCTTTTTAAAAAGAAAAATTATATTATAAGAATTATATTAGCTAAAACTCGAGATATTTTATAAAAATAAATCTTTTTTATTTTATTTCAAATTTTATATAATTTAGAAATAAATATTTCTATAATAAAATACTTTATATTTTTGCTTTATTTTCTTAAACTTACTAGATTTAATAATATTCGAGTTCTAATATAAAAGCTATTTATATTTATTAAGCTTAATTATATAATATTTAATTATACTTATTTATACTTTTATTAATAGTATTATTATTATTATTATTATTATTATTATTATTATTATTATTATTATTATTATTATTATTATTATTATTATTATTATTATTATTATTATTCTTTTTAAAGAAATATTTTTATTAGCTTTATTTTATTAATATAATATATATAATAAACCTCGAATATTACAAGTACTAATTAAGGAAATTAATAACTCTTTAATACTATAATTATACTACTATTTATATTATAGGCTTTAGGCTAATAAATTATTAAATATATATATTATTAGAAGCGTTTATTTAAAAAAAGCTTTTCTAAATCTTATAAAAAATAGTTTTATATTAAATTTAATATTATAACTTTTTAATTTATTAATTTATTCTATTATTTTATTATTTACTAATAAATACCTTATAAGCTAGTTTTTTTGCTTTTAAAGAAAATAATTTAATAAGTAATTATATTTCGAAATCTATAAAATATATAATTTTTTATTAAAGCTATTTTTATAAAAGAAATTAACTAAATTAATTCTAATATTAGTAATAATAGAGGCTTATTTAATACTTTAATAAGGCTTTTTAAAAGCCTTTAAAAGCTAATAATAATAATAAGAATAATTCTAATAATAATTAAGAATTATAATTAATACTTAATTTATTATTATTTAAACTATAAAATAAAGCTTATATATTAAAGTTAATACATTTTAATAAAAGCAAGAATTAGTAAATATAATTAATTAATATATTTTATAATTAAAATAATCGTATGTTAGGACTTGTACTAAAGCCCCTGTATCCTTACGGGTTTAGTACGTATTAGTAATACGGTCGAAAATCAGTAATATAGTCATTTTTTGAAATACTAATTTTTAGAATTTTAGTACAAATCACAGAAAAATATTTTATAGTTTATATAGAATTTATACTATAATTAATAAATAAAATTCTCTTACTTTTATATTACATATATATATAGTAAAAAATAGTGGAAATATTATATACTTTACCTTATTGGCGACCCCTCCAAAATACTATGATTTTAAGAAATTAATTAATTATATAACTACTATCTCCTAATTCATATATCTAATAATTATCTTCTCCCCATTAGTATCTGATCTAACTATATTACCAAAGCCATTATTATAAAATGAAGGTAGAAGGGGGGGTAGCTTGACAAAACCAAGCTCTCTAGCTAGTATTTATTATTATATACAAACATATATTGCCTGGTAGGTAGACGCACTCTCCGCCAGAATCTTGTTTGCCGCCGCCCGAACCGTCTTGAGATTAGCTTTATAGCCTAAATAGATCAGGAAATCGATAAATTACTTGAGGTCCTTCTTCTGGTCAGAATTAAGGGTTTTGTTATAGCTCCCTTTGGTGTTTTGTGGTTTTCGTCCAGCCAAACGCGCTTCCAGAGTCGATATTTTACCCTGAATTAATGCGCAATCGCAGATTTTTTGATATGTGGGTTCCTGGTATAGAGATCGGAGACCTGGGCTATCCTTTACCCTTCTTCTGGGTTATATTTGGCCATGGTATTAATATTTAATTAATTAAAATCGATAAATGAGAGAAAAAAGCGACCATATTACTAATATGCACTAAACCCGCAGGGACACAGGGGCTTTAGTGCAAGTCCTGACGCACGATTAATATAAGAATATTTTTTAAAATATCTTATAATTTATTATATTTCGTAAAAACTTTATTTATAAGTTTATTTTATTTTTCTTAATAATTTCCATTAAAGAACTTCCTAAAATGAAATTAGAACTTATTTCTTTTTCTAATATAATAAGCTTTAAAAGTAATTTTAATACTATTTATTAAAAGTTATTATATAATATTTTAAAAATATATTTAAATTAAAAGAAACTTTTTAAATTTCGAATATTTAATTTATATTATAAAAAGTCTTTTAAGAAATAAATAATATTTATATTTTTTTAAAAGTAATTTTTAGAACCTAATCTTAAACTTATAATAAATAGTTTTCTCGAATTAATTTTATTATAAGTACTTTTAAAAACAAACTTTATAATACTTAAAAGGCTATAATAAAGTAAAGCCTATTAGTATATAAGATTTATTAAAAGTAATTTAAGGTCTATTTAGTAAATATACTTTAAATACCTTAAATTTATTAGTAAAATATCTTTAAAGAACTTCGAGATCTTTATTAAAAGAATAATAAAATAATTATTAAATTATATACTTGAATAATTAGTTTTAAAGTTAATTAGAATTTATATTTTAAAAGGAATTAAATTCGAATTCTTAATATTACTTTATTTAATTATAAGATTTATTAAATACTTATATTTATTTTCTTAAGAAATAAGGAAATATCTATTTTCAAGTAACTTAAAAAAGCTTAGAAAGCAAAATATATTACTTATTCTAAATTAAGGAAAATAAAGATAAGGAAATTTAGTAAAAGTACCTTTACTTTTAAGAACTTTAATTTAGTGAATTCTAATTTATAAGACTATTAAAAAAAGAAAGAAAAGTTCCGAAAATTATATTAGAATTCTTTAAATAATACTTTAATTTCTTTTAGGCCTTATTATAATACTAGTTTTATTTTAAATTTAATTT